TGAGGATTTTGGGTGAACAGCTCCTGAGCCCCACAGTGACACCTCAATCATAACCCCCCTGGCACTGCCCACAAATTAAAGTACTAGCAGCATCAAACTGCCAGGAAAATACTTTATTAATTCCTTTATAAAAGAAATAATGTGGCTTTCCTGTGTCCAGGAACAAAAATGTGCTATTTGCTTACAGTGACACCTCTGAAACCTTTGGGCAGCTTCCCTGAGGCAAAGGGATGTACAAAGAATTCATTTTATTGATCCTGCTCTGTTAAAAGTTCACCAGCTGGCTCCACTTCCATGGACAGGAGCTGTAGGTTAATTCAGTATGGAGGGAAAGGCCTGGAAGTCCATTTCTGGCAAATTTACTGGCAGAGATTAAACAGAACCAGGCAGGATTAGAGGACATGCAGGGCTGCATCCAGGCCCTGATGGGCTGCTCATGACTGAGGACAAACCCACAGCTGGGGAAGTTTATTCTGGAAAGCACCGATGGAAACCAAGGAATTTTATACAGGTAATTCTCCATGGAAGAACAGGGTTCAGTGCAAGCAAAAATAGGAATTGTTGAGCAATTAAATGATAATAAAGAAGAGAAACCCCCAAATTTGAAGTACACTTTGGTCAGAAAGCACCTGGAATTAGCAATATAACACGTAGCAAAGTCATCAGTTATGGAAAGGGATCAATCCACTGATATTCCCATTTTCTATTCCAGAATATAGAAATCCTGAAGTCAGACTGTGGCACAGGCACCTCCAGGGATTAAAACTCTTTACAGTATTTGCAGTCTGCTGTGTGGCTCACAAAAACACCACAATACTTGCCAGCTCACTCAACAACTGAATGTTCTTTTGGGGTTTTTAAAAATTATTTCACAACCCAGAAAGGAAACAGAAAGGAAGTTTCTTGTTGATAACACGTGGCAAGCAGCAAAGGACACCAAACAGGACACAGCAAGGGGGCTACAGGAATTTAAAGACAAAATAAGTTTGCACTGAAATTTCACAAAAATGTGAAGAACTGACAGAATTATAAATAGGAGGTTGCTTGGTATGGGGAATCCAAATTGCTGCTCTGCTGCATTTCTGTCATTTCACATTTGGTTCCTCCTGAACCTGGAATAAAACTGCTCACAGCCCCATCTCAGTGCCATGCTGCTTTGTTTTTTATAAAATGCCACCTTCCACAGGCCAGTTTAAAAGAATATTAGATTTCTAATGCAGAGTTTTCAGCCCCAGTAATCCTGCTGTCAATCACAACTACCTGTTTTGTGAACCTTTTAACTGCATGAGAAGAAGTGCAGATTTAATCTGCAATTATTTTTCTCAAGTCAGTCCATGAACACAGAACTGAATTAAGGGAAGGGTTATCTGTTCTGCCTTGCTTTAAAAGCATCGTAGCAGCAGGAAATGAAAATAATATGGGCTGAACAAATGAATGAACCTTGAAATTTAGATTGGTTCTCAAATATTATCACGGAAACCCCCAAAATAAGGTAATTTCAAATAGTGGAGGAAAAAGCAGAAAAGAAATAGACTCTATGTAGGTTTCACGGTCTCTGCAGAAAATGCAGCACAGCTGTAAGACTAGGAAGAAACTCAAGGATTAAAAGTAAAATACAAATTTATGAATACATCCTAACTTTTTTTCCGTATAAATACATTTAACTACCTCTAAAAAAAAAAATCTAATTAAAAATAGGAGCAGGGTTGTTTATTTGCTTTGAACATGGCCACTAAAGAGCGTGGATAGCGCAAACCCCTCAGAGCCCTTCGGCCCCTTCTCCTCCCCCGCGGCTCGGGAGCCGCAGCGGTGACACGGCCCCGCGTGGGTCGGGACCTCCGTGGCCGAGGCCGCTCAGGGCCCCGTGAGGAGCCTGGCCGGGGAGCGCAGCCCCGGGGGAGCGCCCGCGGAGCTTCCCCCGGTGCCCGGAGCCGCTCGATCCCTCCGGAGCCGCTCGATTCCCCCGTGCCGAGTGCGGCCCGGAGCCGCTCGATGCCCCCGTGCCGAGTCCCGCCCGGGCCGCGCCGCCGCGGCCTCTTCCCGCCGCCATTTTCTCCGCGGCGAGGAGCCTGCGCAGGGCGGGGGCGGGGGGGGCACGGCGGCGCCGCGCGGGGCAGCGCGGCTCCAGCGCGGGCCGGCAGCGGGGCCGGGCGGTGCCCCCGTGCCCCGGCGGGGCCGCCGCGCCGCCCGGCCGCCCCTCAGGGCTCCCCGGGCCGGCACTTACGCGGAAGAACCCGGCGTCCATCTTGGCTCCTCCGCCTCCTCCCGGCCGCGGCGCGCGCTGCCGTCCCGGCGTGCACCGCGCGCCCCCTCAGCCGTGCCGGGGGTGTGGGGAGGGAAGGGTGGGCGGGGCCAGGCGCGCGCCGCGTAGGGTCTCTCCCTCCGCCGCCTGCTGATTGGTAGAGGGTCGGCGCGCGCGCCGGAGCCCGGCCAATGAGAGAGTGCAGCTGCTCGGGGGTGAGCGCGTCAAGCGAGCGGTGCTCTCGCGAGCTGTTGGCTCCTGCGGCTATTGCCGAGGTCGGTGTCTCGCGAGATCTCAAGGAGCCCTCACGGCCGCGGCTCCCTCAGGGATGGCGGCGGGGCCGGCCCGGGCCGTGAGGGCGCAGACCCTCGGCAACGGCCCCTCGGCTCCCTCTCGGTATCACAGGGGCCCCTGGGCAGGAGACAGGGCTCTGAAGAGGTCACAGAATCCCAGAATATTTAGGATTGGAAAGGAGCTCTGGAGATGTCCCAGCCCAAGCCCTGCCCAGGCGGAGTCACCTGGAGCAGGTGGTACAGTGACACATCCAGGTGGGTTTGGGATGTCCCCACAGAGGGAGACTCCAGCCCTCCCTGGGCAGCTGTTCGAGGGCTCTGCCACCCTCATGGAAAGAAGTTCTTCCTCGAGTTGAGGTGGAACCTCTTGTGTTTAATTTTATGGCCATTGCTTCTCCTGTCCCTGAACAGAGTTTGGCACCATCCTCTGACACCCCCTGGGGATATTTTATGGATTTATGGGATCCCCTCTCAGCCTTCCCTTCTCCGGACTGACCAGGCCCAGCTCCCTCAGTCTCTCCTCATCAGGGAGATGCTCCAAACCCCAAACCATCTCTGTGGCCTCCCCTGGTCCCCCTCCAGGAGCTCCTTGCCTTTCTTGTCCTGAGGACAAGTCATGGGCTCTCCACGCCATCCCACTCTGGACAAACTGGTGTGACTGGTGTAGGTCACTGATCTCTGTGTGCCTCCTGGGCTGAGTTACAGATGCATTCTTGGGAAATAAATTGGCTGTGGGACTCAGGAATAAAACCCAAGGGAAATTATCATATTTTATTTGCTTAGAGTTGTAACAATCTGAGCCTTGCACGGCCGAACTTGGAGCAGTGCTCGACTCGGCTGCTCAGCAGCCCTGGGATGAGGGAGTTTAGTAAAGGTGACAGCTGAAGCTGGAATTGCTTTATGTTTTTGTTGAGCACAAAATTATAATTAGAACCCGTGGGAAGGCAGGAGGACACTAGGTGGAGCTCCGGGCTCTTTGCTGGGATAAGGAGGTTGGAAATAAGGGGGGAGAGCTGAGTTTTGGGGTCAGGACTTACCCAGCAGTGAAATATTAAACATTTTACCAGAGTATCTGGATCAGTGAAATTCCAACTGGAGGATCCGACCTGCTGAAGATCTTGTAGAACTTTCAGGAGGAAAAAAACCGTTGATTCTTGCAAGACAGGGCCAGCTGAAGGGGAGCATTCCCAAAATTTGTGTGTTTGGAAGTGGAAGCTGGGGGCCAAGTCAGGACAGGGTGGATCAGCCCTGAGGCAGCTGATGTTACCAGGGCAGGAGAGTGTGGGATTGTTCCTGGAAAGCTCAAATCCACAGCAAATGGCACAGAACATGGATTTTTGCTCCTTGACAAGGTGGTTTTGCTTGCTCAGCGTGAGCTCAGGGTTTTGCTGCCAGGAGGGGTTGTGGGGCCTCCCAGGAGGTGCCAATGTGAGGCAAATTTTATTGGTATTTGAATTTTTCAGCTGGAGCAACGCTGGTGTGTCCGAGCAGCCAGTTCTGCTGCCAATAAGAGTAATTCTGTGAAACTGGAACTGCTTGCAGTAGTTCTGCTTACTCTGCTTGTGAACTGTGTTGGCTGGAAATGAAGCAAATGGAACGTAAACAAAATTTGCCACAAGTAGGTATGGCTAAGGATGTTAAAAAAAAACAAACCAGCAATAAGATGGGCTTGTCTTTCCCAGAAATCTTGATTTTGATCCCATGGAACTGCTCAGAGAACATCCAGAGACAGAAACAGAAATTCTTTTTTTTTTTTTAAATGAGATATTTATATTTTTTTGGAAAAAAATTAGATGTGCATCTGCTGTCCCTTCTGAATTATTAAATCAATCTTCCCTGCCACAAAAAATAAGGTAGAGAACCAGGACAAGAGAAATATTTACAAGGTGATTCAGAAACTTCACAAACAGCTGTCTCAATATTTGGTTTGGAATCCAATCCGTGCTCCAGTTTCAGCCAAAAAAGAATATTGCAAAGTAATTGAATTTAGTTTCTGCACAATAAAAATTACTAGTTAGTCAAACTGACCTGCTCAAGAGATCCAAGCTTATTGGAAAAAAGCATGAACTAGAAAATCTCAGACAATCTGGCAGTCAGTGTCTGACAATGGTCTCTGTGTTCCCACCCCGTGGGTTGTGAGTGTCCCTGGGAATTCCTTTGTGCCACTGCTGCACACCCCCAGCCCTCACACTCACAAAACAACCTCACTTTGGGTTAGTTTCGAGAGTAAAAATGGCTAAAAATAGTTGGGCTGCACCAGAGAACAAAACCTTGCAGGGTGAGTGGCACACTGGGGCTGCACAGAGCCTCCCTTGCTTTGTCCAAGCTGATTTTTTTCTATTTCCATGCTTATTTTTTTTGGTTAAAGAACTCAGATTTTGCATAAGACAAAGCATTCTAAGACAGCTCCAGCCATGAACCTGAACTGAGAGTGAAATCCCTCAGACACCGAGCTCCTTCAGCAATTGAGAGTTACAGAGTTTATAGAAAGAGTTTAAAAATACTTGAAAATAAGTAACATTTTTTTTCCTCAACCTGTACATATGTGAGCTTAGAAACGTGAAGTATGAGTGAAGATAAATACAATTTTGATACCTCCTGTACTACCCATCAGGTATAAAATAAGCCACAAACCTCCTGCATGTAACTTGTAACAAACTTGGGTCCAAACTGAGTTTGGGGCTTGTCCAGACTTCTCCTCCAGTTCATCAGCAGAACAGAGATGGTTCAAAGTCTCTGAAGAAGCAAAAGCTCCACAAAACGTGGGCATCTTCTCTTCCTGGTTTATCCAGGATGGGCCTCACTGCCATCCTGATGGTTCCTAGACCTCCACCTGTTATTTCAGTCGTAGGAAAAGTGTCCAGACCTCTGGTTTTTCCTCTCAAAGAAAGAACCCAAGGTTCATTTCAGTTTACAGAGAGAATAACAGCTGCTTGCAGCTCCCAGTGCAGCTCTGCTGAGGAGTCCCAGGTCCTTGGGATAACAATTCCATCTCTTCTCTGGCAGGCAGTTCCCAGTTACCTGCTCTGCAGGTGGATGTCCACAGGGATGAAGGTCACCGAGGGCTGCTGGGCCAGGCTGTGGCTGCTGTGCCCCACGGGAGGTGGCACTGCCAGCTTGGAGGCTTTGGGTTCCAGCTCCCGCCGCACTCGCATGCGCCTGGCAAAGGTAAAAGGGGAATTGGCACTTGGGGTGGTCTCTCCTCTCCCAGGGTAAGTTTTGGGGAGATTCCCACACAACCCATGCAAACCAAGCCAGGATTTCATCCCAAAGACACCAAAAGTCCTCCCAGAGTATGTGAGCTCTGAATCAAGCTCTCCCTGTGGCAGTCTTGGTGCACAATCAGACCTTCCCTGCATCACCAGGAATCCCTAAAAAGAGCTCCCACCATGCAGCCTCCATCAAGGAGCTCTTTGTGCTTCCTGTGCTCCAATCAGGGCACTGACACTGAGAGTCAGTACACTGCAATCAGCACTTCAGTGCTTAGACTCTCCTGGAAATTTTCAGCAGCAAACCCTGAAATGCTCTGCTAGCTGAGAGCAGGGACTTTGGTTCATCCTGGTTTGACATGGCCACGTACCTGTTGTATGTTTTCAGGATGAGCAGAACCACTGTGAAGATAATAATTACCCCCACCACGATGGCAGCAATTATTGCTCCAGAACCTGGGAGAGAAGCAGGAAGGGAAAAAAGCCATATTTAGAAAGTTGTCATTGTAGTGTTTGAAGTTTGATAAGTTCAAAGTCCACTTAAAACCAAAAAAAAGCCACCACCCCACTCCTTTCCTTACTTTGATAGAGATTTTGTTCTTGAGACTTTGTGGTCACATTCACTGAGAGCTGAGTGTTATTGGTCAGTGGTGTGGCCGTCGTCATCTTGAGTGGGCTGCAGAGGGGAAAAAGAGGAGTGAATTCTAAAATATCAACCCAAATTTCACAGTACTAATTAGGCAACTGCCCAGCAAAGGCTCAGAGCCTGCCAAGTGCAGGTTCACTAAACTGGAATTTAATATTTTCATTATGATGGAAACCTGACCCCACTGAAGGAATGGAAATTCAAAATTGGTACGATGGAAATTTTGGTATAATCTTGCTCCACCAGCTAAAATATCCCCTGGTCAGTGTTAGTAGGATAAAATATGAACACAACAATGTATTTCAAATGCTTTGAGATTTTAGATTATCACCTCTGGTTGAGAATCAGATCGCTGAGCAAAAGAGTGTGAAGGATTCTGCATTCAGAATTCAGCACTGTCTTGAGGGAAGCGAAAAACTGATCACAGAAAGGTTTAAAAACTCCATTATAAAACAAAATTTAGAGGAGCTTCATTCATCTATCATGGAGCAGAAAAACCATTTAACCCCTTAACTTGGAGCTCCAAAGGTGTCAGGACAAACACCAGCCCCTGAACAGGGATATTGCAACGTGGCTGTGGCAGGAGGTTGTGAGTTCAGCCCAGTGTCAGCTCAGGTCTGTTATTGGAAGCGGATGAACTGAAAACATGCCTGTGTTTTGGTGGGTAAAACTGTAGATCTGGAAAGAGCAGCCGGGATGTTTGCTGGTTTTAAAAGGGTTTTCCAAGTGTCCCTGGAAACCCGAGCCATTAAAGGGCTCCTTCAGCCCGAGAGGGGTGTGAGCACCACTTCAAAGAGCCCTCTGGAACCAGCTCAGCTCCCAGTCCCAGAGCTGAGACACTCCAACTGCCCCTTGAAAAGTAAATTATTCTTCAGCACTTGATATGGAACTGAGTTTCCCACTTCAGATGCTGCTCAGTACAACCAGGCAGGACTCTGGTGCTCCCCTGGGATATTGTGTGGCATGGTGACATTAATTTTACACAGCATGAGATAAACAATAGCCAGAAATAATTCAGTGGAAGTGAGTTGGTAATAAAAATTAATACCAATTAAAAACCTGCAGAGCAGGTCAGTGGGGAATGAGAGGGATCAGAAAGCAGCAGGAAGGGAAGTGGTTGGTGTCTGACTGGCATGCAGGATCACAACTGCAAGGGCCACTCTTCAAATACTTCAATCCCCTCAAGTTAAAAGTTTGGTCTTCTTCTTTTAATCTAAAAACCAAAATAACTTTGCCACAAGCCTGTAACTGGGTCATTCTCCTGTGAGTGAATGATTCCTTTGTTTAGCCAAGGCCAAGTTAATTCAGCAACATGAGCATCAGCTGAAATATTTTGTGTTTAGGCTCTGCCCAGCCCTATTGTCCAGCACAGGGTTCACACACACCTCAGAGGGACCTGGGATGCACCAGAGCTCAGGGACAGCTGTTCCTATCTCCCCACCCATCCTCCCATATGGAAAAAGGTTTTACCAGTGGCAGCAGAGGCTCAAGAGACTCTTCATGAAAAGCTGATCAAGTGTTCTGACTATGGGCATAATTCAGAAAAAGCCACATCCAGCTCTCACCTTGTGGCTCCTGACTAGGGCAGTGAAAAAGCCACACCTAGCCCTTTTTCCTTCCTCTGGCTACCAAAATAAAAACTCCAAATAAATAAGGCTGGATATTTTAATATTAAGCCATGAAATATTCATCCTTCCTACCTTCGCTCTGGGTCAAACCACCTCGGGAATGGGGAGCTGTTTGTGCATGAGTCACCCAGACCCAAAGAATTTTTATTGTCGTAGTGAAACCACCTGTTTATGAAAGGGATTAATTTATCCAGCAGGCTGCACAATCTCAGGTGCAGTTTGAAAACTGCAGCAGGTTGGGATTTTTCTGCTTTGTATAGCAAGTCAAGAGCTGCAAGGTCTGTGTCTCCAGCCAGGGTGGAAGGTGCTGGTCCTGCTCTTACCTGGGAGTCCCAGCTCCATTCCTGCCTGTGAATCAGCAGGTTACACCTGACCAAGCCTCTGCTGCATGAGAGACCCAGCAAAGCCCAGCAGATCCATGGGAACCTACTGATTTTCAGCCTGGATCCTACTCTGTTCAGAAAAAACATTTGGAAAATCAGGAGTGCTGGAAAAAAGCCATTCAGCAGGGGAGAAGAAGTGGACTTTGATACAGTAATCACAGGACATTCTTTGTCTATGACACAGGGCTGCACTTCCCCCTGTGCACACACACCTGCCTGGGCTCTCAGAGCCTCTCATTCACCCTCACTCTCCACACTGCTGGTTATTTTTGCATCCCCACGTTATGGAGCTGGAAATGTTTCCATAAAGTTCAGCTTTGGGCAGGTTTCCATTTCAAACACCTTGGCAGATACAGGGGATAGGTTGTTCTGGCGAGTGGGAGCAGTGCCCCCTTTTCTAAAGCCTCCCTGCTGCCCCTGCCCTGCTGGGCTGAGCTGAGGGGCCCTGCTGGGCTGGGTTTGTTTGTGAGGAGATGGGGATCAGAGCTCACCTGTCAGCAGCACCTGCAATTACAGCAGGGGGGCCACGGGGAACAGAGGGGGTTGTTTGAGGGTTTTTCCAGGATGGCTGGGCTCGGAGAGGCAGCTCCCTGCCAGGGAAGGTAGGTGCTGGTTAGGGGGACACAGATTCAGTGCTTTCACCTGGGAAAAGGTGGGGTTTGCATGGAGCTGGCTTGTTCCTGCCCTCACCTTCCCAGCACCCCGGGAACACTGCCAGGGATGGAGGTAAGCTGTGATTTCAGAGAGTAATAAAAACACAACGTCCTTTAGTGAGACCTGAATGTGCCTGGGTTTACCTTGAGAGGCTCCAAAGAGGGAGGAAGAAGGAAAGAAAAGCCCAAGTTCAAAGAGGCCTGAGGCAAACAACCCTCCCTGTGTGAGCCTGAGTGTCCCCATGTCAGGGCAGCACCTTTATATAAGCATTTTCTCAGGTTCTGGCATGAGCTGCCCGGGTTGAGCTGCTGCTAAAACACACATTAAAAGCAGTTCACTGCCTTGCCAAGACAGAGACAGTGGCACAAACAGCAGGCAGCTCTGGGCAGTAGCAGCACCAGCTAAAAACCCCTCAGTAATTTTACCTGCCTGGTTTATTGAGAGGCCCTAAAACCCCTCAGTTCCCACAGGTGACAAGAAGTGACAACAGGACTCCCAAAAGGAACACCCTCATTTCTAAAGCCATGCCTGGAAATATAAACTTGGTAGACTTTTGTCACTGACTTGCCCAGGAGCAGTGTCTAAACCAGGCTGTGAACTGCACATTGCCCAGTTAGATTTTCTTTAAAGCCAGCAATTAAAGGGTCTTATAAAAAGGAGAGAGAGGGGCTTTTTATGCAGGCAGCAGAAGGGGAAATGGCTTCCCACTGCCAGAGGCAGGGTTAGATGGGATATTGGGAAAAACTTCTTCATTGTGAGGGTGATGAGGCCCTGGCACAGGGTGCCCAGAGCAGCTGTGGCTGCCCCTGGATCCCTGGCAGTGCCCAAGGCCAGGCTGGACAGGCTTGGAGCAGCCTGGGACAGTGGAAGGAGTCCCTGTCATGGCAGGGATGGCAATGGATAGGCTTTTAGGTCTTTCCAAACCCAACCTGTTCTGTGATTCTATGTATTAAAAATTCTGTACACAGTACAAAGGATCAACACAAAAATGCAGCTCCTCTCACTGCACACAGCAGCACGGAGGCAGTCCCAGGAGCTCTAGCCTATGCTGACTTGTTGAATCAGTGAGGTTCCTTCCCCCTCTGCAGAGCCCTGAAGACACACACAGCAGCTGACACCTCACACTTGCAGCCTTTCTCCACCAGAACCCCTTGGCAAACCCTCAGTGCCCCAGTCTGGTACCCACAGAGGGACAATAACTCTGTCAGACCCTGAAGTCACTGGTCTCTGCTCTGCCTTTGTCTCATGGTTTGTAATCACTAAATCAACCCCTCCTGCCACACAGCACAATGCATCCCATCAGTGAAAGCTGTTTACAAAAAGCTACGCTTCCTTTAGCAAGGACTTCCTCGGGCATTAAATACATTAATTACCAGGGAAAACCAGAAATCACCATTTAAACCTGTCAGCAGCTTCAGTGTGTTCCCAAATAAAGCAAGCAGTGTAGTTTTGTTCTGTGCTGGAGACACTCAGTGAACTGTAACAATGCTCTGAGCTTTCGAGTTCTTTTCCTGTTAAATATTACTCTGCCAGCTCTTTCCAGCATGCTGTTCAGCAGATTTTTTTCTCAGGAAAAAAAGTACACCAAAAAAAAATAAAAAAAAATACAACACCAAAGCCACAAACAAATAGCCACCAACAAACCCATATTTATAGTGCCAGGGTTGAATGTTGAATAAGTCAGGACAAGAGATTCAGCGTCCCCAGCGATGAAAGGACACCGCCGGCGATGGAATGAGCTTTCAACAGCCGCGCGGGCTTCCCTTTCTCCGGGGAGAAAACCGCGCCAGAGCAGTCCCAGTCCCGTCCCTTACGGCTCTCAATTAATGGAACAACTGCTCAAGCACCAGCCGAACAGAAAACCGTGCGAGGACATCTGCTCTCTATTTCTTTCTGGTTTAAAGGTACCGATAAAGAACTCGCGTTTCCCGTGGTTCATCCACAGTGCCTCGCACACAAACCCGGAGTAACCGCGCTGCTTGGACCGGCGGCGGAAAGGAACAGAGCTTTGGGGCAGAAAGGTTACAATTATCCCCACTCGAGAGCGGTTCCTACACCCGACCCTCAGCCGGCGCTACTCACGGAGGATGCTGCGGGCTCGGGGCTCCGGCGCTGCCGCAGCGGCTCCCGGCTCCGTCCGCCCGCCGGGGCTGCGGGGCTGCCCCCGCCGGCGCTCCCGCCCCTTCCCCAGCCCGGAGCTGCCGAGCCCAGCCCGGCCCAGCCCCGCTGCTGCCGCGGGCAGCCCGATGCCCGTGCGGCCGGAGCCCCGGCACAGCCCCGCCGCCGCAGGTGCCTCCCCGGGGCCGCCCAGCCCGGCCCGGCGCCGCCTCCCCGGGCCCGTGCGGGGCTGCGGGTGCCCCCGACGACCCCGCCAGGCAGCGGCTGGGGGGATGGAGGAGTCTGGGATAACGCCCCCGTCTCACAGCGAGTGTTCCCAAGCTTTGGGAGCAGCCCAGTTTCTGCGGCTCTTCGATGCCCAAAGGTCTCCCAGGCTCTTCGGGAGAAGGATCCCAAGCACATCCAGCCCAAAGACAGAATGAGTGGTTTTGTCCACTCGACAGTGGAATCAAAAGGATCAAACTGGAAAGGAGTCCACACTTTTAACCCGTACTTCGTTGGCTTTATCCTCCAGAGGAGCATGGGCACTGTCCCTGTCTGGATTTTTCCTGTGGACATCACACTTTAGAAAGGGATCTGTCCCCTGCCTGGGCCTGATGCTGCTCCCTTGGGAAACCAGAAAACCACAGGAACAAGCCACAGCCCTCATTCAGGCTCCATTTGTGGTTTAGGGTGGTCAAGCTGCTGTGCAGATGTTTCACCCCATTCTCCATTCCAGCTGCCCCAGCTGCAGCCAGAGCCACATCACCCACCTCCCTTATAATGCAACCTGAAACAGGAGAAAGTCTGCTCCTTTACAGAATCCCACCTCCGTATGGACAGCAGCAACAGGGTGGTCCTGATGGTCCATAAACATTTGCAGTGGATTTCTTGGGAAGACCAGAGTCCAGCTGGGCTGAAAAATGGGGTCCTTCCTTACCTTGCAGTTCTCCCTTTCCTCCTCCAGAAACATTTGTGCCCTTAACAACTCATGCTTCACACTGGTGTCTACCATAGGCTGATTTCTACACAGAACCCACAGAACACAACCACTGAGGCTTTTTCACCAGAAACCAGAGTTTTCAGATCCAATTATTTAGCAAATGTTTTGTACAGCTACAAAGACCCACATTAGTCACTTCCACCTCAGTCCCACTGAAGCCCATGCAGCTCCTTAAAACCAGAGACTGAATTCCCAGCAGGGATTACTCACCAATCATTCCAAGGGAATACATTTCACTTGATTGATTTCCTTACAATGACTGTCCCATCCTGCATAAACAAGCAGGAGCACGAGGCTCTCCTGGGAACAGGAGTGGTTTTCCAGCCACAAACCTTCCCTGGGCTGTATCTCTAGAGAGCAGAAGGGGCTTCTTTGAACAGTCAGCAACCATTACTGGGAAGAGGTATGAATGTAAGTTAATAAAAATAATTAATAACTCAATTTAAGTAGTACAGGAAGGGAAGCAGCAGCCCCTGTGACTGTCGGGCAGCCCAAATGAAAGCAAATGTGAGTTCCCAAAGCCTCCATGACAGCAGAGAGGGAGGGTGGGACTTTCCCAAGGGTTTGTCCCTCACCAGGTCCTAAATTAAGAGCCACACACCAAGTTTATACACTGTTAAATGTATAAATACATTTGTATAATGTATAAATAAATGTTTATACACTGTTACTATAAACCTCTGCTGTCAACATCAGTGACCCAATTTGCAGGCACCAACCCTGAGCTTATCCCATTAAAGGAAGACCAAAGGAGACTCTGGGATGCTCCATAAAAACCCGATGAAGCCAATTGACATCAAAGGACAAAACATAACTCTGAATTAACTCCAGGCTTACTACAGCATTACCAACCCCTAGGAAGTGACACAGCCTTACAAGGTGTGGAGTCTCACTGAATTTACCATGAAGCAGGTTTGGACTCCTCCTGGAACAGCAGCTCAGCTCCCAGCTCTGCTGGTAAATCTGCAGTTTGCCTGCACCTGGCAGGGCACAGCAGAGCCTGGAGTGGCTCAGTGAGAACAAAGAGGGAACAGGTATCACAGCAGATATCAAAACCAACTAAACATTCATTGAGTTTGGAATTTATTGTGAAATCAGGCCCTCCATGCACCCACAGCTTCAGAAATAATTACCAGACCCCCTGGGAGGGATGAAGGGAGCTGAGATGACCTGTCCCAGCAGGAGGGCACAGCTCAGCCTGGCTGCCCTCTCAGTCCCTGCTCCTGTGCCTGTGATCCCAGCACAGAGCCACAGAGGACAAGAATTGGTTATTTTTATGTTTTATGTAAGAGTAAACCAGACTGCCAGAATATCTTTCCCACTGCCTCACCCCAATGCTGATGATGGTTGGAATTCCCTTCACCAGGGGAATCAAACATTCCCTCTACAAGCCTGAGCATGCCAAAGTTACAGTACAGAAACCTGGTTCAGAGCAGGATTTTAACACATTAGGTAACATCTAAAACACAGTGTTTTCTATTTTCTAGGCCCTGCTCTTGTTTTATGGAGCAATCAGACCCTGTGACCCTCCCTGGAACTGTGAGTGATGGCAGGGACAGCTGTGTCACACTCACTCACATCTCAGGGTCAGTACCTACAGGAGGAGAAGTCTGCATTTTCTCCAAGGGGATGAAGCTTGGTCTCTTTCCACACCAGCAATCTCTCCTAGTGAGTTTTACACTTAGTAGAGCACATAAACAAACCCCAGTAAGATTCACAAGCCAGCCTTCTATTCTGGGCTCAAAAGTATCCCTAATCCAAACCCAGACAAAAATGGAAATGAAACCTTTCAGGGAATAAATGAAGCAATTGGAATTTTATGCACAGGGTCTGTCCAGGGGAAGCAGTTCTGTGAGAAGGCAGAATGAGGAGCTGCAATCAAAGGTTCTCAGCTATTATAAAACCAAAGTACTCACATAACTCCAGAACAAAAGGAAACACCTCATGTTTCAGCTGCTGCTCAAGGAGAACATTTTAAAGGAATTTGGGGTATTTATTTATACAAAGTGCAAGCTCAGAAAGGGCTGAGTTGGTGCCTCTGTGCAAGCTTGCTGCTAAAAATAGTCCTTACCAGCAGTCAGTGATTAGGAGAAGCAGGTTCTGGTGGGGGGTACTGAATCATGGCATGGAGGGAGTAAAGCAAGCTCCAGCTTCATTTGCCAAGGCAGGCTGCCACCCTTGAGTTGAGTTTTTGTCACCGTGGAGTGGAGCAGCATCACCTCTGATATTTAAGCTTCATTTAAGCTTTGAAGCCTCTGTTTGGCTCCTCCTCCCCACCCAGAGAGGTCCCTGCAAGGATCCCACATCCCTCCCCTGGGTCCCTGCCACCCCCAGCTCCGAGGCGCACGGAGTCCCCATCCCATCTGCCCATCACAGACACCACCAGCACAGATCTCACTGTGCACCTGGTCCTGCATGGAGCACAGTCCAAATCCCAAGTGTGAATGGCACTGCATTGTTTTATTTGAAGTGTCTTTACACAATGGAAAGTGCTGGAATGTTGTTTCACATTTTACACATCTATACAATCAACAACATCACACTTGGTTCTCCTTATAAAATTGTTTCTGAAGGTTTTCCACTTACTCCTACTTACAGCAACTTCTACACTGGGGTAGAAATGAAATAATTTAAAAAATAGAAACACCACAGAGAATCCAACCCGGACTTCTGGAATTTCAAAAATCCATAAGCCTGCTGGATAACACAGGTTTTTGCTTGTTTTTTTTTTTTACCTTTGTTTTAATTCCATGGAACAGTGAGACAGTGAAGCTGGGCTTGGAGTGATTTCAATACCTGAAGAGATACATAAATATCACAACTGTAATAGATGGACAAACCCCATTTCCCTTCCTTTTTACTCTGTCCTAATCCTGTCTCTGGAGCAAGGACCTGCCTGCAGGATCCCACTTTGAAGCTGGTGGCAGGAGGGATCCTGAGCAGGCACAAAACGGAGTTGAAAACTTCCACATCCATGAGAATCCCTACCCATTCCTTTTCCCCCTGCTGTCAGTCAAGTGAAAACACTTCTGGAAGTTCAAGAAGCACATCAGGTACAACTGAAACACTGAAATGAACCTGAAAAATCTGAATTTCAGAATGATTTCTACACAGGAACATCAGCAGCCTGGTTTGATCACAAATAATTTTATCTTTTTAAATAGAAAAAAAGAAGAATCTGTCTAGACTAAAAAAGTTTGACTATAAAATAGCATAAAAGCACAGGAGCAGGTGTTGTTATACCAAGGCATATTTTCCTCCTACTAAAACACTTAACACAAGACCACAAAACCAAAGATCTGTATTCTAAAAGATGCATCCTGGTCTCAGAAACAGCAGATGCTCTGTCAGACACACAGGAGGCCACACAGAAAAAGTCTTCATGAAAAACAGCAAACAAGGGCTGAAACTGCATAAAAACTGGCTAAGCCAGGCAACTGATTGTCTTTGAAAATACAAAACAGACTGGAGAAGTTAACAATTAACCCTTGGATGTTTTAGCTCCTGCCAGGACCTAACAGTCACTGGATTTATTCAGAGGTGGAGGCCGTCCCAAGGACTGGAGAGGAATAAACATCCCCGGATTGTCAGAGAGGATCAGACACACCACACGCAACAGCTGGATCCACATTTCACTCTACCCCTGTCATTAACTCCTAATTAGGGGTCAGTGCACCACCACAGACACCAGAGCAGGAGTGTTGGCGATAGACTCTGAGGTTCTTCCTCTGGTGTTCTCCTCCTGCAGTCACCAACCCCCCTGAATTCAGCTCCTCAGTGTATTTGTGCCTCATGTCAAACTACAAACACACAGCTGGTATTTCTGAGAAAAGCAAAGGTTAACCCTCACCTCAGCTGGCAAGGAATCTGAGCATAGAGAGTGCATTTCACTTGTGTTTAACACTAGATCAACTGGAAGCTGTTGGACAGATCAGCTTTTAACTGCTGTACAAGGAACTTGCTGGAACCCACTCGTGACAGGAGATTATTTCATCACTTGGAACATCACACTGTACAACAGAGAGCAAAGGGCAGCATCTTAAAAAAACCAAAACACAGAC